AAAAAAGAGAGAAGACCTTGACATACACACGTTCACAACTGAGCATAATTAACGTTCACCAGTTACATGCCGAGCTTCTCATACAAACACAAGTTGATCAGTCTGCGGGCCTCCCTGAGCAGGCACCAGTCTGAGGACCCCTCATGGTGGGAAGTTCTCCCCACCTCTAGAGATGGCTCCCCTAGAGCTCACAGGTCATCGTGCTGCTCAGGAAAGCAAGAGCTGTTCCTCGGAGACGTGCCTGCTTCCAAACCTGTCCTGGCTCTGCTTACACACTACCCCAAGGTGGGGGAATCATTGGCCACCCACTCCCCGCAAAGCGCTGGGACAGCAGCAGCAGTGCCCATCTGCTGAGGCTCATGGCCAACCACGCTGGAGTTTCATAGCACTGTGCAGCAGCCGCTACAACGTGGCCATCCTCACTTAGCAGGAAAAGACAGCCAAGCACAAAGAGGTAGAAGAACCTAAGAGCTGCTGGCCTGGTTCAAACCAAGTGCCAATCTATTCCAGTATCCTGTCTTCAACAGTAACCAGAAACAGCTCCCTAAGGAAAGAGTAAGAACAGAGCAAGTACATATTATGACATACCCTCATTTTTCCAGTTAGCTGCACCTAAGCAAGCTCCTACACAGGCAATGATACCTTTGTGCTTTAAACTGCTTTGCATTAATGCAACATCCTCARACTGCTGTCAGTGAAGCTCTGACCCCGTTTCTCTGTACTTTCATTCCTTATTCATCTAATCCAGAGCACTCTCATTCCTGCAATCCATTTAAGTGTACTTAGTTTTTGCTTCTTTTCCAGTAATTAGTAAATGGACTGGATTCAGGATGCTGGTGTGAGGGGCTCTACAGCAGTACTAGTGCTGAAGGGTAACAGCAGAAGAATTTTGGATAAAAAACAAACAAACAACACACGTTGCCAAGGCAGTAATAAGGAATGTAGCTTGGTGCAGAGTCTACTGTCTAACTATGGGTGTGAAAAGCTTTCTTTGTTTATTTATCTCCTACAAAAGCAGCAAACACAGAACATATGCACTGTACAAGCAGGCACAATGCTGGATCCCATACAGTGACATCCTTTCCCTAAAACAAAAAAAGGATGTGTTCAAGGAGGAATTTTGGTTCATCTCATTGAAAAGCAAAGTGCCACCAAAAGTTGTTTTTTCCTGTAAAGGACAGCTGTCTTGGTCCCAGCTTCCTAGGAAACAAACCTCGCTAGTGTAGCTAGCGGAATTCARCCAAGAGGATATAAAGTTTTTTCCTGACTATGCTTATGCCCCTCCCAAGACTTGTCCTCCCAAGTACCTCGATGGAAGGTGGAACATGAGTATCCAAAGCTGCTCCCTAGACCAGCTAAGAACTAGAAGAGAGATCGTTTTCAACTGCCACCTAAAATCTGGYCCAAGGTGTCTCAGCGAAAGCTGACACAGAAACACTCCTACAGAAGCAGCTCCAGACCTGGCACTCATATGTTTTACATAACAGGAAAAGAAAACGGTTTTGAACAGAACTATGCACTCTTTCAGGTGCACTGAATCAGCTCCAAGATTCCCAGCACTCTCCTTCCTTACCCCTCAGCTTTGAGCATGAACTCCAAAAATGCAAATCAGAAGCATATGCAGGCTCAGAAGCTCTGCCTTCGGAGCAGTGGAAAGGCCTGGTACCCGGCCAATGAAAAGCTCGCCAAGAGCAATATAAATCTGCCTCTTCCTGGAGCCTGACAAAACTCCATGTGCATCTATGCCAGAAAAGCAACAGCCCTAACCCAGGGAGCTTTTAGAGCAAACCCTAAAACCCGAGTCACACTGGGAGGCTCTTTAAAAAAAATTAGCAGTTTTATTCATCAATATTAAAAATACAGTTCTGTTTGCAGTTCCGAATAGCGTGATTGACTGACTGATCCCCTTACTCTCTTTCATTTGGCAGAGCAAGTTACTCACACTTCATTATTTCTCAGCAGAATACATGCTTTGTACGACAGGTAAAACACCACAAGATGTCAGTCACAAAATCAGCAAGAGAAACAGGAAAGCTAAAGGAAACAGTTGCCATGAGATCAGCTTGGTAAAAGCTGCAACACATCAACTGGGAGCTGCAGCAACTTGCAAAATAGAAATATTAAAAATCCAGCAAAATGTTACCAGCAAAAAACAAGTCAAATCCTGCTTGCACCATCCCTATTTATAAATAGTCTCGGTTCAAGAATCAACTTTTCACTGGTAATTAGTTCTACTGGAACAAAGACTGATTTAATAAAATGTTCGTGTTTAACTTGCCCTTTTCTCACTGTATTCTGTACTTAGCATAAAAGAATACTTTTTTTTTAATATATTTAAAAAGTTCACCAATGTGAAACAATCTTTACAAAAGCACAATGTACTGCTATTCAGTTAAAGTGAGACATTTCCTCACTGTCCCAAGGCAGCAAGTCATCAAGGCTTATGACACTGCATACGTCTGATGGAGCAAACATTGACCCCCAGGAGTTCATTATAGGGAGATTAAACTGCATAATTACAGCTGACATAAATGACTGATAGTAGTTTCAGAGGAGAGGTATCTATGGATGCCAACTTTTTCCAGATATTTAGAAGTAATTAAAAGGAAGGAGAAAAAAAATAGATCAAGCCAACCTTGTGTGGCTCACGTCATCTTCATCGCTGCTGCCGACTTCATCACTAGATGAGGAATATTCTGCTGCTTTTAAAAATAAATTGGCGTTGTCCTTCCCCTTGGCAAAGGAACCTGGACTCTGAATAAAGAAAACACAACTGATTTGTGTTTGCTATGTAAGAGGGAATCACTGAACAGCACCGTGCAGTATTTTACTGTCCCTGCAAATGTAGTTACTGTCATTTCTATAGTGAAAACTTTATTAGGAAGCTGATGCTTTTGGTGGTCTATCACTAGGGGATATTTCACACAGGGCAGTGACCTAAAGCCAGAACATTTGATTTTCTTAAAAGCTGAAACATGACTGATTTTAATAAGTAATTATTTTGAATCTCAAACTTTTACAATTTAATCTTCACATTTCCAGGAGCCCCAAAGTACTTTTTTAGTACTAGGAGATCATACCAGCCTGAGCTTTTTTCTCCATCCCAGACTAGCCTGAGATTTGTAAGGAGTCAGGTCTGACTATGAAGCACCTCTAGGCTTGAAAGGCCATATGAGCTCACACAGCTCTTGTTTGCAGAGCCATTTACAGCCCGGATCTACATGTGCTCATATATGAGCCTCCCACATTAAGTTAAGTCAGCAGAGGCTGAGGCCACTAGGATGCTGTGGCCTCACATAGCACGTGAGCTGCTGCCCAGCTCTGCATTCCTTTGGGCCACCCGGACTCCCTGCAAACTTCTAAAACAGCACCTGCCCCCTCTTCAACCTCTTGCACGAGACCTGGTGAGCTCCATTTATCTGACAGACAACCCCTGCCCGCACAAACCACCCCGAGKCTCAGTAAATAAGATACAGCAGCAGCAATCTTCCTTTGCACCAGCTGCATGCCAGCAAGTAGCAAGCGAATAGTGTTTATTCTGGGAAGTTATAACCTGGATATAAGGACAGGCTACCAGCCTGGTCTTGACTCCTACCCTCCAGGTCAACTGATGAACATCCTCCTCCTTGCATCCTCCTTCCTAAACATTTACCCAACACACAGTCCCCGAGTGGGTGCAGGAAACCCCTGTCTCTGCCACGATCTGTGCTGGCCACACATCCGAGCTGCTCTGCCAGCGGCTGAGACACCCCAGCACAGCAGGACCCACGGCCACACTCAGTGCCTCCAGGAGGGCTGCAAGCTCAAGCCCCACTGCAGGGCCAGCTGCACCACATGCCCTTCACAGACACTATGTGCAAAACAAGCAGCAGTGCATAGGAGAGACCTACTGCAATCTGGCCAGGATGAGGGGGTTTTTCAGGCTTCTTGTGCTGCTGCGAGTGGTTCTGGGACAACGTGGTCTCTGCCTTGGCTGAGCCTGGATTCCCTGCAGGAATGAAAAAAAAAGAAAAACACTTCAAAAATGCTTGTGCTAGAAAGGAAGAAAGAGAGAGAGGAAGAGGAGGAGGCAGGGAGCACTAGGACATGCCCATATCATTACCACTCAGAGCTGGCACCAACCCTTGCTATCAAACTCAGATTTTTTTTTTTTTYCATCTTTGCAAAGGGAAAACTTTATTTTTTTTTCCCCAGCACTTTTGGATGCCACAATATTTTATATAAAATCCATTCCAATGCAGTTTAATGCTGCAAGAGTAAGAAAGGCAGACCAAAACCGCAGCACTGTGCTCCAGAAATGACTCAGTGGCCGAGAGCAAAGCTTTCAGGGAAGATACTAATCCCTTCCTGTGATTCTCTGTTGAGARGGGACAGCTCATCTCAGCAGTAACTGCTGGGCATGTTCCAGCATTCAGGGCGCCATTCGGTTACATTCCCAAGTGACTACAGACTTAGYGGACGGGGCAGGAGTTCTAGCCCTGTGATACGTGGTTTCATAAGCAAAGATGTGGCCTTTAGACAACCAGAAAGCAAAAGCAGCCTCAAGTTTAAATTCTCTAARCCCAAATGGGCTTGGTGCAAGCAGCTCCACTAACCTCCATTCCATGTGCTCAAGCTAAAAGCAGAAGAGGATTCACCACTTCCCACAGTAACAAAGGGAAGAACAATTTTTCACTCCCAATTTCCCCTCTGCACCTTGGGGGCACGCAGAGTGTCATTACTCAGCTCCTGCTCGCAAGTAACAAGTGACCATGTCCCTTCARTGCTCCTGCTGCCCACAAAGCTACCTAGGAAGGGCAAACACAGCCTTGGAGCCGAGCTGTTTTCTGCACACAATTTYTGAGACAAGTGGGAGATGCAGAGAGTGCAGGTAGACAAGTCCCCACCCTGYCACCCATGTCTCCTTCAACAGCTTCCTCTGGGACCATCCCCACTGCTACCATCCCTGCAAGATGAGGGGCCAGAATTCAAGTCCACACAAACTCAGAGTCGTGTTTGCTCAYTTAGGTACTTCTATCACAAAGGCTACATGCAGTCAAGCAGTTTGCTTAACGTTCATAATGCCTTACTGGTCAATGAGAACCTAAGCAACTCAGCAGCAGTATTAGTTTTAATGTATTTATAGCCCTTTCCTGTCCAATTCATTATCCCTGTGGGTTTGGGAAAACAACAAACTCTTTCTGGAACACTGTATGCCAGAACTAGCTGTAATTTAATGACACTTAAGAACCCAAGGAGACAGTTTAAACCACAGGGGAGGTTTTCTATTCTTTCTATGGCTGGTGAGGTTTTCATTTCTCCATGCCAAAATAGCACAGAAATTACATATCATGCAGACACTGCAAAGCTAAGCTGGGCTGTTGCATGTTGCTCATCACTATGCTATTATTCAAACATAAAATGACTTAAGAGCAAAAGAAACAAACCCTAAGCAGTTTAAAGTGTGCTTTGGATTCTTCTTGAAGCAAAGCTTCCTCTTCTGTGCAGTTAGTGARAGCAAAATTGTTACTCATGAAAGAGTAGTAAGTAGGCAATTTGTTCTTCATTTATCAAGGGTTTGTAAATTAAGAATGCGAACTTCGGTTTAAAAATAATGACCTCATCAGCTTCCTCCTGGGGTTTCTCAGAACACTTCAAGTGTCCACCCTGCCTGTAACTGGGAATGATTCTCCATGTCAGCCAGGCTGCAAAGCAATATAAAACATCGCCGCCTTGCCAAGCGCTGCACTAGAAACTGCCCTGGCAGTGACCTAAAGAAAACACCCTAAGGAGTAACTACAGGGGAAGAAGASTGTCCACATCCACCCACATCCCCAGCTGCCGGGGCCGCAGCCACCAGGGTCTGCATTGCACAAAGCTCTGCACAGGTAYGAGCAAGCCCGCTAGGTCCCCAATGTGCTGCAGCCCCATTCGCTGTAAACAAAGTAGTTTTGTAACTCTGCTTTTAAATTACTTTTGCCTTTTTTTTGCCCCCCCCCTTCCAGTTCCATTCTGTTTCTGTAAATAAGAGAACAGTGGAGGAATGTTTTATAACATTGTGTGAAGAAACTTATGCTTCCTCAGGTCCAAATAACGTTAGAGTGCAGAAACAGAGTTTAACAAAACAACAAATGCTCAACTGATTGGTGGGTAATAGAAAGAAACAAAAAAAGGAGAGAAAAAAGCAGAAAATGCAAACAGATTAATATTATCACTGATTTTTTTTCTACTTCTTAGTTGAGGAATTAAAGTTTTCTGTATGGAAATACATTCACAGCCACTTTCTGCCTTGAAAGAGGAAGTCTTTATATTTTAGGAACATGGAACTATAAACCCCAGAAGGCTACAAGAAGCCTATGACCAGAAAGAACCCCATTAAAAGAAAACCCATTAGCAACACAGCACTTCATTCCCCACATAAGTCCCAGCTTCATGTGATAGGAATTTTGCACATTTTGATTGATGAATCATTGACTTAAAGTCACCTGCGGTTGATCGGCAGCTCTGATGAGATCCCATCTCCCACTGCTTGTTGCCAGGAGAGCTACTGCTGCTGCTTAGTTTCAGAATATGTCCCCCAGGGGACAGCTGATGAGCATTACTAAACAAAAAGACAAAAAACAGATGAGTTTGGCATTCAGGAACACAGACTGGAATGGACCTCCCAGGCCACGGAGTTGAGTTCCCTGCTGCTACCATATGATACAACTTGTGATAAACAAGAACTTCACTGCTGCTCCGAGCAGAACTRAGAAGGACACGGAGGGGACGTTTTCCTCTAGACGTTCATGCTGGGAGATTACAAGAAACTCCATTACAAGTTATCCTGCTATATGTACCGCTGCCTCTTCCAATCTGTCACTTGATTCCAAAAAATCTCACGCCTTTTACAAATAACAAACCCTGCTCCAGTATCCTCCTAGAAGATTAAGTAGTAAAATTGRGGCTCAGCCAGGCCCACAAACTTCTCACTCACCACACTATGGTCTACCTACATAATACTTTCTTCTTGGCTTCCTTTAATTCTTAAAATCAAAAACATTTAGGAGCTGACTTCACTTAAAAGCTACTTCAGATGATGTTTCTGACTTTGGCTCCTCCTGTATCCTTGGTCCTTTCTCCTGGCGTTCAAAAGCCTAAGCACATTCCAGCCTTAAGGGCAGTTCCAGTTAAGGGTAGACTGACAAAACCATCAGGATACAGACTGCATATGCACCTGCTACAACTGCAGCCACACAGAGCAAAGGCAGCAGCTTCACAAGCTGTAATGTGCACAGACAGGGAGCTGAGCGTAGGAGCCCCACTCCCAAAGTGGCCATGAGGACAAGATCAGATGTCAACAGTTTGGGATCTCCAGCAACTAGCATTGCCAAATGGTGCAGATCTTAATAGGTACTAGTAATTAAGTGGGAACCAGATGCACAACTTGCATGAGATCCACTGAGGGAAACCAAATAGGCTAGATCAGATCAAACAACTCATTGCAGAAATTATTACAGATGAAACCTTTGCTAGATCAGCCCTTATATTTTAAATACTGTTTTCTATTAAAGAAAAGAACTACRTTACATGACGATGAGATGGAGATGATGATCTATATGAGCCTTGTTTCTCTCAAAATCAGGTATGTCAGTCATKAAAAGGAAGCTGGTTTGGACACTTCCTTAAGGTTCACAAACAAGAAATTTGGTTAGTTGTTTAGCAGACAAGCTACTTGGAAGACAAAATAACTCTAACTGCCATTAAACGGGGTATGAACCAATATCAGTGTTAGAGTTACCGAGGTTAGGGCTTTGGCTTTAATAAGCTGACTGCAATTTTCCTACTGGTAATAAATCAACATTAGTAGAAGCATAAAACACAGGAGAGCTTACCTTGAAAGACATCTCTGATGGCCAGGCTGATCCCTGCTGTAAAATTTAGAGGTTGTCCTTTCAGGAACCTTAAGGATTAAATCAAATGTTTTAAGTTTGTTACTGATATTTTAGCCTTAGTTAATAAGCTTAATACTTGCCCTTTATCAATATAAAACTGAGACTAAACAACAAAAAAAGAATAATGCTTCAGTGGTACTTCTGGAATTGGGTCTTCCATGATACCATCCCTGGAAGCTGCAGGTCAGCAGCAGGTTCTTCCAGCTTGCCCTGGGCCTGTGCAGTCTATCAGGGCACAGCATCTAAGTGCTACTGCATCTTTGCCTGGTGTCAGCATTATTTTTGGTCAATATTTAAAGCAGACAATGAAAACACACCTGCAATCTCTGACTGAAGCTTTTCCTAAGTGAATTGCTTTATGTTGCTACCAAATAAAGAAAGAACTGGAACCCCCCCCCCCCAAAAAAAAACCCAAACACAAAACACATGCATGCAAATACACTCCCCACACATACAAATGTTTTGCACTCATCCTTAGGAACTGTTAAAAGCAGACATATAATAGTATCTGACAAACACACTAATGAAGTTTTCTGCAGTAAATCAAATTCTTCACAAAAAGGGAATCTACAAATCCTTGGTCTAACAACAGAGCTGTATTTACACGCACCAAAGTCCACTGATACTGTATATACCCCACATGCACACAGGGAGAATACTGATCTGCCTAATCACTATAAATTTGTATCTTAGAGGCTCATTTCTGAGGCTCAGTCAATACACACATGGATCATACCCCACTGCAGAGGCACCGACTTGAGCAATGCAAACCGCAGGCAGCTCCCAGCGCCCTGGTTTCACGTACCTTTGGGGGCTGTTCTTCATTTTGACTCATACTCCAGAATACATCGTCCTGTCCGGGGCTGACCGGTGTTGTCACCATATCCGACAGCGAACYGCTGTGGTATGCATCTCTACTAGCCCGGAAATTTTCACACTTTAAATAAATGAAGTACATATTGAGTTGCACTTCTCTGCCCTACAACAGGTCCCAATGCACAAATGTCAACTCTTTTGTTTGCAAGATCGAGGTTTTAGCAAATGCCTACAAGTATTCTCACGCAATATAGCCTGCCTTACTTCATTCGCTGTAAAGTATTGATTTTCCGCTTGTTAGGCACAAATATTTCAATATGAAAGGTGTAATAAAAAGAAATATTCAGTAAAACATTTATGATGGGCATATATTTCCACACTGTAAATCTATGGGGATGTTAATAGGTCATTGGCAATACATAGTCAACTGCTTAACTGGATGATGCAAAAGAGATTTTGCTTACATATATATATATATATTTTAAATAATGCAAAAGTACATGTCAAATAAGTGTCTTTCATCCAAATCTCACCAATGCTCCTATTTCTGAATTTAGATAATACAAACATCACAGGAATCCATCTGTCCCCAGTTAAATGTCCACTCCTAAACTATCCTTAAATTCCATAAAACATCCTTAAATTCCATACACTAATAAGCTATCATACTTTCAAAAGGGGAAGATAAGGAAGAGAGCTAAAAGCATCAACTCAAAGTCTCCTTTCAAATGAAAAATCTCCTTGGATGCCAGAGACAGAATACACAGAAACACTGCATGAGCTGGGCCCATCTTGAGGAATTTTCATGCCAGAATCCAACTGTTGTTAGAAAAATAGTAAATATATTAGAGAGATGCTTGAAGAGATACCACTGTATGCCTTATCTTGCCAGATGTCGCGTGCAAGGCAGGACAGGGGCTCTCCAGAGCTCCTGGGCCCGCAGCAGGACTGCTGTGAGCTCCTCACCATGGGCATGCTGCCCACAGTGACACTGAGCTGGTGCTTCAGCCTGGCCATGAACCTCTCCCGGGGACACTGCAAGTCCTGGCCACTTGCAGCCCCTAGGGAGATTCCCCTGCTGAGTTTGGTCCATCTCAAAGTCTTTATTTTTGTGTCCRACTGAACTGCTGCAATTTGGCCCAGAGGCGGCTGCAGTTGAGTTTCCCCCAGGGATGACTCGGACAACTATTGTGTTGATTTAGCAGCTGAGGTCTGCAATACTCTCCTGGTCCCCCAGTGGCCTCAGGTGAGGGACACTACAAATGCAAGGCAAACGTATTTACCTAATACTCCATTAATTTAAAGTGAAGTAACCTATATTAAAAAGTAAAGCAGTAAGTGAGAACTGCACACAGTCTTTCAGGAATAAAACATGGTTATACGAGCTCCCTGTAACTCTACAAAACTCATGGCAACAAATTTCAGTATCACTAAAACACTGGCAGAGTAACTATAAAGCTAGTTAAAGATTCCAAATATCCATTTAAATGTCCTTTCATGACTTCCCCATCCAGGAAAGGAAAGTTAACTGGAGAAAAATAGTCCTGACAAGTTCAGTTGGTTAAATATTCAGGTGCTTTTTCTCCCTTTTGGGATAATATGTTCTGTTGACTTCCTTTACAGAAAACAGCTGCTTCAGCAGTTACAACATCTAATAATCTGTGCCCTTTCATTTTGTCAAAACTACTTTTTTGTCCAACATGACTGTCACTAATAATAGTTTTTAGTTAACTGCAATTATTTTAACAGCAAAGTGTTCCCTTGAAATGACTCATCCTGGGGGTAGGAATAGGTTCTACAGCAAGTTTATCATTATGAGTTCACAGGCAGTCTTTTTCCTTACCACTTTTTCAATAAGATAGTAAAGCTTCTTCCTAAATTCTGGCTTTTGAGTTCTGTAGACAATTAGAAAACTATTTGGGCTGAAAAGCAGGGGGGAGCAGGGCTGAATTGAGTGCATTGAGTTTAGGTGACCCTCCACAGGTGGCAGAGATGAACTGCCTTGGGCACAGACACRCCAGTTGGTCAGTGCCATGCAGAGCCAAGAAGGAGCACTTGGTTGTAGGGATGRTTTCAGTAGGACATACAATAACTTCTGACCTCACAAACCAGAGAKGTCTCAGATAACCCCTCAGAACTACATTGTGCTATATTTCCCCAAGTTTCAGATCATTTGCATGAGAGCAAACACCTAACAGCAATTCTAAACTTGAGCCTAAAACAGTTCTTTTAATAGGTAATACTTCAAAAAAMCAGCAGCATCTCTGTCAGGTGTCCTTGAACCATAAAGCACAAGCTAATGGAGCAAAGGGGAGAAACCCTTTGCTTCCTAAGAAATGCAAGGCAGCACGGCATAGCAGGTTAGTGAGTAGAGGYAGCTCCAAAAGATCTACAAGTGAGAAGTTTTGAAAAGACAAGCTGCACTGCTTTCTGGGGACGCTCACGTTGCTGATTCGAGCCTGGTCTGCATAGAGTGCTGGATATGTGCAAGTGTTGTTYCAAAAACAGCATATGGACTGGACTTTTTTTTTAAGCTTATAGGTACATCTGCTCTGGGATACTGGATCAATCCATGATATAATGYACAGGTAGTTATTTTAGTATTGTTAAATTTCTTGTTCTGCTTTGGCCCCATTACTCTGATCAACAGAGGAGATCCAACTAGCAAATCCTATAGGAACAGCACAAAGGAAAGTGGTTTTTGCTTGTATGTTTGTTTTAAAGGAGTTTGTCAGATGTGCGTCAAATTGCTCTGCTGGCCAGACAGGAAACACTAGACAGGGACACAGAGTCAGTGATTTAGTTCCCAAAACCTCTGCAAAACTCTGCAGTTTGCCCAGAATGGCTTTCCCAGACACCATGGATAACCAGCAACCCATCCGCCACCATGCTGCATCTCACCTATAAAGACAGGCACAAAAGAGCTATGTAGGGTACAAGTCACCGAAAAATCCTACTCCTTTCATCTCAGAGGCTGCAGTAAGTTTTCTAGTGTAATCGTTTTGAGAGAGATTTGGGAAGCCAGAAGGTGCCATATAATCTCACAGTATGCAATAGCTTAAAATAAGAAATCATTTTTGTCTGAGCAGAATATTGATGACAGATGATGCCTCTTGGACAAACCTGGATAGATGTTCTTCAGCATAAACATCTGTGATGAATTCAGCTCGCGGTTTTGCTCTGCAGCTCCTTTTAACCTCCATGAGCACAGCACCTACGTATTGAACTTTATGGGTATATTGCTTTGAGCCTTTCAATCTCTAGGTGACTAACTGGCCCATCACTCATATTGCAGTATAACTTTATAAAGTTAATACATGCTGCACTTTCAAACACACAGCTATTAGCATCAACAGCTGCTGCCAGTCAGCAAAAGGAAATGCAGCCCTTAGGAAGATTTATAAACTGCGCATTGAAGTTCATCTGGTTTCCATGCAAACACAGCAGGTAAGACTACAGATTGGTTTCTCCCCATCTGACATGATCTCTATCAACTGCAGCACTGACTTGTGCGTGGGTAACAGGGCAGCCTCCAGCAGCAACTGGAGTCACAGGGTAAACTATATATCTCTTGCTGCTAGTATCCTCGAGTAACACTACTGCTTTAAAAAGCATCGCATTTTTATAGTGTTATATCCATCAAGAAACGTGAAAAGAGGGTGATAAATAGTGATTCATTACTCACGACTCACTCAAGTAGCTGGGAGATGTACTACCAAAAAGAGAAGCACCAACAGGGAGACTGAGGCAAATCAGGGAGACTGAGAGAAATCAAGCAACCTGTCCTAGGTGAAAAAGTAATCTGGGTTGTAGCCAGACTACAACATCCTGTGCCACATGCTCTAGGTGTGCCTGCTTGAGCGGGAAGGTTGGGCTAGGTGATCTCTAGAGGTCCCTTCCAACCTTGAATATTCTGKGATTCTGTGGCTCCCTTCACGCCCAGGGTGCCACTTCAACGGGGCGGGATTATTCCCTGTACAGCCCCTGTGCTCCTGGAGAGTCCAAGACACCGTRCAATGAACTGTGCACTCTCCCCTTTCGGTAGCAGGGCTGAAATATCCACCTCAAGGAAGCTGTCAGCCTCCATCCAAGGCTGAGATACAAATGTCCRTCCCATAGACCTTGCACCAGCTCTCCAGTGATTCAATGTGGCCTTCTACAAGCCAGGCCATCAACTCAGCCCAGTCACAAAACCGATAACTTGAAATGATAAATGGGCCCTGGAAAAAGGGTTGTGAGAACATGCACAAATATTTTCCCACTGAAATGCTCTCAGATGAAACATGGCTTTTCCTTTTCCAACAAATGCCTGTGGTGATTTATCCGTCACCACCAGGCAATGGCAACTTGAACAGTTAAGGCACGGACTGACTTTGACTTAAAGATGCTAATAGCCTCCYACAGACCCACTTTAACACATAAGAGAAAGCAAATGGATAAGGAGAGCTGAGCCACGAACCCCGACCTGTCTTTCTGGAGGACTCCAGCTACTGGAGAAAGAGAAATTATGGAGTACTTCAAAAAACAGAGCCAAAGGCGGCAGAATACAGGAGTGGTGCTACAAGCAGGGCAGACCAGGACACGCTGAGCACAGCACGGGCAGGTGAGGATAGGCCGTGCAGTTGCTAATGTGGCCATGATTCTTACGGTGCCTTGGGCACCGCCAACYAAACCTCATGGAAGTGGTGGCAGAGGGAGCAGGACCTGTTCAGTCATCCAGGAGCCTGGCAACAAGGTCGTTGCTGCTGCTGCTCGTTTCCAAAGTGGAGATTTCCAGGTGAGACGAGCTGTGCTCACACAGCCAAGGTCTTGCTCGGTTGCTATTCACTGTCTTGCTTTGCTTTCACTCACACTTCCTCACAGGCCCCTCACAAGAGATTGGAGCAGAAAGAAACTGTAGCCTAAGCTACTTATTTCACACACTGTGAAAGAGTAGGATGTTGAAATGAAAGCGAGTTTTTAGATACACTGTGAGAACTCTGCTCTCCCACGATGGGTAGAAATAGCAGGATCTAAAATATTTTGAGAAAAGGACTCTCATGTATAACTATTTAAAGATGTTTTCATAATATAAAGTGACTTGTTCAGCACTTCTACCTTTTGTACTGGAATTTTTCAAGCCAGTCAGGTCAGAAATCAGTAACTAACTGATTGTATTGGGCAATTCCTGTCAAACTGACAAAAATATGCAGAGTCTGCAGAGATGAGCATAAAAGAACACGAAGAAATGCTTAGAAGCACCTTTGAACACGCAAGGTGTGAAAAGCTTGGCTCAGCAGGTGCAAAGATTTTAAAATAAATACGCCTAAAATATTTCACATCTCAACAAGCAAGCACATAGGCTCTCGTGGACAAGTGAGAGCAGCTGAGCCTGTAAGCCCACCACACRAGGACAGTATGTTAGCTGGTGCCCAGAGGATGGTGCTACTATAGGCACACTCAGAGGTCTTATAYGCAGACCATAAGGATTAAGTCTTGTTCAAAGATGCATCCTAGAAGATCTTTTGCACCAGGAACATTACCCTAATTGCTAGAGTTCTTGCATTTGTAACTGAAAAACATCCTTTCCTCAATAAGAGGGTAAGTGTTGACACAGCAGCTGAAGAATAGAAACAGATCTTCACAGACCTTATGGGCTCTACCTGGAAGCAAAGCCTGACTCTGCATTGATAACTAGATCTTACTGCTTCTCTACATGCTTTTAGATTATTTTATAGTATCACTAATAATCTTGCTTGTGTACATGATTTTCAGGGAAATCACAAATATTTATGACGCCATATGAATAATACACCATCCAGGGACCAAAACAGCACACTCATTCAGGCTTTCTGCAAAACATCTAAGAGTAATACCATAGAATCAGCACAGTCAGGCACCAAGCTTCTAAAAATAACCGTTATCTAACCCCAATTTGCAATGCCTAAATATAATTCCACTTATAATGCAGTAGCATATGGTGGCACTAAGCATCTCTGAGGCAGACTGTCACAATCCTCAATCATTTATGCACAGAAGTGGAGGCAATCAGGTTTCCCAGTTACTCTTCTGCTCAGAAACCACCCCATGCTCTCTCCTCGCCACCCGGAGCAGCAGTACCATACCTGTACTAACACGGCTCTCTGCATTGCAGGGGTGCAGGGACTGGAACTGCTGCCGGAGCCCATCCTAGCGTGCGGGGTGGCTTCGTGCCCCAACACCGCTGCCCACTGCAGAGAAGGCTGGATGCCCTCGCTCTTCTTTTTGCGGTCCTCAGCCTGAGGATGAGAGAAGAAAGTTGCACATTCAACCCCAGTCTTCATGGCCTGGACATTCTCCGAGAGCAGCGCCAAGCTGGATGGGCCTCCTTGTCAGTGAGAGGGCAGCCCTGGCACCATAGGTGCCAATATTGTCTCTCGATCTGCAGCTCTACCCTGTTCATCAGCCTTCTGCAGCAGGCCTCAATACCACCCATGCAAGGAAAAGGGGCACCAGATGCCCTTCAACTGCAGCCTGCCTTTTTCTTCCTGGCCATCCCATTTGCTACAGACCGGGATTTTAAGTAGGAGGAATCATCCTTCCCTGTTCACTTATTTTTATAACATTCAGCCCATTTTGCCATGCATTTATTACTTCTACAACAGCGATATCACTGCAAGTGGCTTTCCTGCTTAAAGCGCTTTTAAGGCTCTGTTGTTGAGTGTCTTAACTGCACTAGACAAAAGTTTGAGGAAAATGATCTAGACGGAATACAGGTCCTTTCATTTCCTGAGGGCTCTGCAAATTACAGAATCTTTATCCCAGGGTTTTAACCTCACTGTTCTTTCTCGTTTCATTCAACATAACTAATTCTCATTCTCTAGTATAAATCTTAAGCACATCCTGTGATTCARCAGTCCAGAGGCAGTTCTACCCAGCAAGCTAGAGATTAATGCTATCTCACATCCAGGTCTCTGTCTGGATGGGCATTTGTAATGGTATCTCTCACTGCATCTGCATGTCTGTGCCTATGTCAGGAAGTTAAGCACACTCTCAACACAGCCAAGGAACCTGCTGAGAAGACAGAAAATAAATCCTTTTAGTCTCACAGACCTTGATTGGAAGAGAGACTTAYAACAACATGCAACCACAGCCAAATACCAAGAAATCCTAGCCCTAGTGAACTCAGTGGTTATATTACTCTTGAGGCCATGTTTAGACAACTCCTAACACTGGAGGCAGAATTTCACCACAAGCAAGAAAGAAAATGGAAAAAAAAAAGAGCAGTCTTACATTGCTGGAAAGAACTTAGCTGGTACATCTGTGTGTCCAAAGGGCCCTTGCCTGCAGTATGTGATAGCTTAATGCGAGCTCCTTCAGCCTGTCCTTTGGGCTCCCAGCACTGCCTCCAGCTGCCACCCAGGCACCAAGGCACTGACCTAGCGCACATCCAGCCTGAGCTGAGAGTCCTTCCCCGTGGCTCCCACGCCAGCTGATCAGACATGGTGCAGCATGTGGCCTACGACTGCTTATGGCAGGGAAGACCCGCTCTGACCTGCCCTAAAGAGCACAAGTRCAAAAGCACAGATGAGCAACTCCCAAAAGAAGGTCCTGTGGCTCCAACTTGCACARACTTGAGGTTTGGAAGGGAAGGGATGTGTTGGGTTTTTGGATTTCTTTTTTCTTTCTTTCTGATGTCTCAACACTAATCCTGAACAGTTTTCATATAGCAATAAACAGCCCTACACATGCCATAGTTATGCAAAGAACACCCTCGAGGAGGGCAGGCTACCTCCATCAATGTATAGGTCTCTACAACAGAGAAACTGGCATCTCTTCAAGCATTTGGCATCTTTTTATTAAAAAAYGGGAAGGATTAGTACTAACAGGATCAAATTCACTGAGTTATCTATGATCAGTCATGGTCAACATTTTTAAAYGTTTCTGAATCCTTGTGAACAACTATGAGTGCTGACATAGTTTCAAAGTCTCAAATTTCAACCAAAGAATGCAGTGCTTTTCCACTAATTACAATTTTAGTGGAAGAACTTCCAAAAAGTTTTGAGATTATATAAAGGATGTTTTAAAAGAATTTGTCCACAAAACCAGAGTATATTATGGGAGCCGTAGRAACAACCACATAGCGCTGTGAACCTGAAGGGCAGGAAGGACTCTTAAGACTCCACGATTTTCCTTTTGTTTATATACTGCTTCCAAATGAGCCTAACCTATCTGCAACTAGCTATATTTTAATCTCACCCACAAATTAAAAGTTAATAGTGACTACATACAAAACATTCCATAATGCATTTAATTCTTCTGTCATTTACAATATATGCCATAACTAGAAATGAGCATCTGAGCTGACATTTTGTGGTTCTTTTGTCTTCTAGCTACAAGGAAGAAAAGAAAGTTAAATGAACTTCTCCCATAGACCCTTGGCCCATCTCCACCCCTGGCCCAAGGCCTAGCAAGGAAGCCATTTCTATTGGCTTTTCTTAGTGCATATTTAGCCTAAGAGGATTGCTTCTCTATCCAGTCCCTACTCAYTCCCTAGCTGGAATAAGATATAACCAGAAAACAAAGTTAAACAAAACCTGACCCCTTCCTAGTTGTATAAATAATGGTTTCAAAAAAAGCTAATTTAARTTTTTTTGTAATGATTTGTTTAATCAGTCAGTACAATAAACTTCAGAGTTAAGGTATTCATTACCCAGTTAAGTTGTACTTCAAACAGAATTAGAGAGTCTCTTGTTCTCACAAGACAGCTACTCTAACAAGAGACTTGACATCTTTTGTCTTGTGATTTCCTATCACTGCTTAACTTAGCACTGTTTGCAGATTCTATTCAGTTATTAAAATGCATAATTTCAACAACTGGGGCAAAACAATCAACTGTTTAACTGTTCATTAATATAGAAATTTTCACCTTGTAGATCTGGTTGCAAAGCATGCACACAAATTGCCACCAAGAACAGAAGATGAGAGACTTGCCTAGAGACTTTAGCAAGACACATTAATAAGCAGCACGCTGCATTTCTTCTACGCACATCTATGTATAGTCTCTCCCAAAAGCCTTTTTTTGGGGTATTTTAGGCAGGTACTTTGCTATGAAGCACTAATACACCTAACATTCTAGGAACACACAGCTACCTCCTAGGAGGGACCTGCAAGCTGTCTTTTGCTTAGGAAAACAGCAGTCCCATCAGCTGCGGAACTACACTCACAAGTTGGAGAGATATATAAGTAGTAAAAAAGTACACTCGGAACTGAGAGTTAAGATATGTGAAATGGACTCCTAGCTGTTCACAATACAGTAACAGTGGGCTGAGCAAGCCTGGGACAAAATGCTGTTTTGGATGAGACAGTACCTCCTTGCTTGTACTGCCTGCYGGAGAATGTGCTGCTGCAACTGAACCCTTGGGAGGCTCCTTCTTCTTCTGCTTGTGGTCATGCTGAAGAGACAGCAGCTGCGTCTGATCTTTGGGGAGCGTTCGATGCACCTTCTTGTTGTGCTGCTGCTGCTGCATGTCTTCCAGCTTTTTCTAAAAGTAAAGAAAAAGCGTCGAGCTTCAAAGGGAGAAATCTCTTGGAGGACAAACAAGTCTACTGGAAATACTGGCTCAGTTATTTTAAAGGAGAAAAGTGAGCAGAATTTCAGCAGGGACTGAAGAGCCAGACTCCTAAGCAATAGGGAACACAAAATGACCCCAAACAGATCTTGTTGGGCTTCTGAAAGACAAGCTTGACACAACAGCTTGACTTTTTTGTTTTTACCCTCCTCAATCACAGCAGAAAATCATGTTTTATTCTTCACCTTTCTTAAAAGCAGAGGGCCTTATCAAGCACTCTACACTTCTATCTGATTACAAATCCATTTGTGTGCTGAAATAGTAGGAAAACAATGTGGCCAGAGTAACTTGACGACAAGACTTCAGCACTCACGTTCATTTTTGAAAGAGATGCTCCTGGTTATAACTCAGAGACAAAGCAGAGATACTGGAGGTTTAAGCTCAAGTTGAACTGATGCTGGAAGCATTCAGTATAAAGATGTTTTAAATCAAACTGAAGCAACTGAAGACCAGCGCAGTGAGGAGAAACAACAGGGATGAAAGTACCATACTCATGGGAGAGGAAGTGCCACTGCTGTAGATAAGAGCGTGACTCAGTAACAGGCAAGTAATTCAAAGGAAGGGTTGGGGGGAGAACAAGAGGCAGTAAATACATTTTTAAAAATCCCCCTCTGGTCTGTGACTCAGAGGACGGGAATATGCTCAGGTAATGGAGAACACCACCAGCTACAGGAATGGCTGTCAATAAACACTCAGTTTATACCTGCTTCTTTTCTGATCTTCCTTGGCCCTCCACCACGCACTGCTCATCTTCCACAGTCCTTTTGTCCTCCGCCCGCTGAACAGCCTTAACCTCTGGCCACCTCTGCTCACACTCCTGCTGCCTCCGGAGCTCCTGCTCTCGCCTTTGATGCTGGATAAGGGCCAGGAAACAAGGGTGCTCATGCTTTATTTCTGTACCCACTTTATGCTGGTACGCGTTAACCACACGGTCCTTTTCCTGATACACACTCAGCACTAGGGGATACCTCATACCCACCAGAGCAAGAGCAGACAGTCACAAACTGCCACCACAATGGCTGTCAAATGTAAAAACCTTTGCCCTTTTSGCAGCCAAAACCATTAATTTCAGTGGATGCAGGAATTTTATGTGGTGGCTGGCAGCTAATCTAGTGACAAATACCTTCCTGTCATTTTGAGAAGGAAGAGTTTCACCAAACTCCCCCAGTTTTGYTGGAGCAGCATTAGACCTCACCAACACCAGTTTTGTGGGGTTTGTCCATGCTGGAACATCATCAGATGCTCAGGATAAGCGACATGCCTGTGATTTAGTGTCTGTAACAGCACAGGGTATCAGGCAGCTAAGGCGGCAGCTATCCTGTAACACCTTTAAAAGATGCATGGCCAGGACTGTGATCAAAAGGACAGATTCAGAATTGGGCAGTGCACATGAGAAAGAAAATGGGATTTCTCATGTCATCAGCCTGGATCTCCACCACAGAGCACGCTTCAATGAAACACTCTTGTGATCTGCTCCCAAAGATCCAGGCAAGCTGACAATAGGGACAGAGACCTTTTAAAATCATTTAACATCACTGCATCCAGAAGTGACAAGAGTTCTCCCAAGGCTAAGGACTGCAGTACAGGTTGCACTGGCAGCTTAGCACAGCCCGCTTGCCCTTCAAAGCCTTCTTTCTATCAACACATTTTTCTTATTTGAGAGGGGATGTGGAATRACAATATAAGCCAGTGCCTACATCTTCCAGCCGCCTCCTCTGCTCTTTCTGCTGCTCGATTCGCTTCTGCCGCTCGGTCAGCAGCTGCTTCTTGTATTTCTCCTGGTCCTTCAGCTGCTGCTGCTGGCAATGAGGGTCAGAGCGGTTTTTGTTCTCTTGCTGTAGCCGCAGAAATTCCCGACGGAGAGTTGACTCTCCCGGGAGATTAACTATGGAGCTGAAACAAAAGGAAAGTTTCTATATGACTAAACATAACATTAAAGCAGAGTACAATGCGCACTGGGAATTCCTTGCTGTCTTGTGTTAGCAAATTAAAATGTTCCGACAAATCTCCAGWGTGTTGGCAATACATCTGCATTTACTGTGCTACAAACCAGCCTGAAGCTGATTGTTGGCTCCTTCATTTTACATTTTCCTCCCTACTGCAGGGAAAGCAGTTTATTACTGACATCTTACACTCAGCAGTTATACTCAATAGCTACAAAACAGTTAAAGCAATGGAGGAAATGCAGGAGATGAGGGATTGAGGGTAAGTTGTGAGAGCCAATCTGAGGAGAGCTGCCTGCAAGAACAGCTTAGCTAGGCAAATTTTATATTCCAGCAAAAAAATTCACCTTGGCTCTCCTTCATCTTCATTCAGCTCATCATCTTCCTCCTCACTTCCACTGTAATCATAGTCTGTCTCTTCTAAAAAAAGAGAACAACATGTAAACGCCAGGGACGGATGGTGTCATTTACAGACATTTAGCTTGAACTTCAAACTTTCCTTCCGAGCTACATGCAGCTCACAGGAGTTTAGGAGCCACAGGTTGCACAAGGAGGCTAAGGGGATATAGTATAAAATATCAAGTAATACAGAACCCAGCTCAGCTAACGTTTCAGTGGGCAGCCCCTCTATGCACCCCATCTAAAATTGCTACTCTGTGAATGGATACCAGTGTTTTGTGAATCTAACCCATTTTCATAATGTGAACTAAATTAAACCTGCAGAAAAATCCAACTTCCATAACAACACTAGCAGAGAAAGGCAATATAAGTCCCSTATGTCCCATCTTGATTTAATTCTGGAGGAGCCTCTCTGCTACTGTATACCTGTTYTATGGGTGAGGCCTTCAGTAAACCCAGATTAAAAACAACACTTTTCAAATCTAAATATAACTATCTAGCATTAGCTGATCATGATTATTACGTTTTTCCCTTTAAGTGCATTTGTGAAAACCTCTGATAAGTTGCCTTTCCTTTCAAATGTGTTTTGAGAGCTTAAAGCCATCATTGTGTTTACTATTATTATTTGAGTCAGGAAATCTGCACTGCAAACAGCAGTTCCATTTCAGATAACAATAGTACAGTTGACAAATCTATACTTAAAGAGTTTATACATTACTCCCCAACTTTTTAGGGCTTTCCAGGTTTGCCCTTACAGTCAATCTTCACAGCACCTCTCCTGCAGGTATCATATAGACTAAGCGAAGAGGGCGAGAGAGGGCAGGAAAAACAAGGGGTCAAGAGGCTATGGCTCCTTCTYCACTTTGCACAGCAATTAGTGGGCAGTGTGCAGGCATTTATACCACTCCAATATCGCTTCTCCCAGGCTCTGCTCTGAATAATAAGGCTAGCGTTTGCAGCAAACTCAGATGCTTCCTTCTCCTTCAGCTGCCCTATAAGGCAGATGACTCATTATACCCATTTGTACCTCGCTGCAACTCGGAGGCCTTCTCAAGGCCTCCTTCGTGCACTCTACCACAAAAAGCTTTTCTGTCCTCAAAGATCTCACGAGCTAAAATTACACAGAGRTGCAGTAGGTAAATTAAGGGGACAGAGGGTAGATGGATGAACTAAGAGACTAGGAAAGGCTTGCTCAACACTATTTAGACATTCAAAAGATTAAAGGCATTGGTTTTCCTTGGACTCCCCGATCACATTAGCATTAAGGTTATTTTTGGTGAAATCAGTATCAGGCAGGCTCCAAAGACTTCAGCATTTAAACACCATTAATATCTGGGTTTGACAAAATGATTTTCAACGTGCCCCCGCCACCATCAACACCAGTATTTATTTTAGTAACATCCACCTTGTCCTTAGCTGCCAAAACTAGGAAGAGGGCCCACTGCCTGCATGCTTTTTATGTCTTTTTTTGCCCCTTTACCCTTTTCTCCTCTTTTCTTCCTGGTCCTGTCCAGGTGGTCTTTCAGCATGATGCGCACTTGCCGTTCATTCTGCATGTCTCGGATGAAGGAATGCTTAAGCAAGGTCTCYGTGGACGGACGGTGCAAGTAATTTTTAACAAGGCAGCTTTCAACAAAGTTAAGGAATTTCTTTGACCTGAAAAAGTTAGAAAAATAGGAGAAAATAAATGTCCTTTTCCTCCTGAGTGCCTGGGACTATCCCCAAATGACCCACAGCACCAGATTTGCATGGGTTCCTTCTGCACTGGATGCAGTGCTGAAAATGGAGAGAACTCCACACAAGCCCCATTTCAACGCAATTTACACTAGTTTCAATATAATCACAATCTGGCCAATAATGACAACTCTTTCGAAAAGTACCCCTATCGTTCCAGTGGCCAAAATTTTCCTTGTATTTCAAGTTTAAAAGAGAAATTAACTCTCCTTATGCTACAATGACTACCCTTAACCCCCCAAAGTCACTAAGTGTTCTGACAAAACACTGACCCCAGACAGTCCCATCTAAGCCTTGTCCCTGGCTACATTTCAGGCACCCACGCCAGTCTAGCCACTGAATTGCCTGCAATGCCCAAGTTAGAAACAACCAGGTTTCTTCCCAAAGGTGACCTAATGTGCACAAGCAGCCTACCCAGCACCACAAACAGTGTAGGAAAAACCCTGCAGCTCAGAGCAGGACTGGACAAGATCAGGGTCCCTGGAGCTCAAAAATCCTCCTAAGCCCACAGYTGCAAGAGCACACTTGGCACTTCTTTTTACCATTTTCTGGATTTCAGTTTTGGAGGTGGGTTCCGGGGGATGAGGAAGAGCGCTCGCATGGGGTGCATGTCACACAGGGCTGCAAGAGAAGAGAAACCACAAGCCATTAAAGAGGAGGTGCCACCTCCATCACATGCCTCCCACTTCTTCAATCCCACCAGGGCAGGTCCTGCCCTTTGCAAACGACCCCAGGCTCAGCACRCCTCACACATGCCCTCTCCATCCCACGTGCTGCAGCCAATAAAGACTCAGGGTGCAAGAACTCATTCGTGACAATACATTGGTATTGCCAATTAACAAAGATTTAGTCAAAAGAAAGCAAGCTAGTTGCTGCATGACAAGAACAACTGCAATTTTCCTTGTATTTTTTTATATCTATAAGGCTTCAGTGGGTTATGAGAAACCTCACCTCTTGTATATAAAAGAATATTTTTACCTTAATAAACCTAAATCTAATATAGCTATGTGCTACAGCTTACTAAATTTGGGGTCAAAACACATAGCTATCTTACTATGCTATAAACCTTATCTGATTTATGGTTCAGATAAATAACCTAAACGTTAACCAACATCAGTGCCTGTGGCACTGACAGGGCCTCCCTCCTGGGGTGACAACAGTGTCTGCTGCCAAACCAGGGCAATCTCAGACTGAAGACGTGGTTATGGACCCAAGCGAGTCCGTGAGCAAATAAAAAGGACAAATCAAGACATCCTCAGAGGAAAAAACCTAACCGTTGGGCCTAGCTTCCCCCACTGCTTTAGTTTTTAGWCTTAAAAAATAATAAAAAAAAGTCTTTCATGTCAAATATTTCTGCTTATACATCAATCACTTCTGCTTATCTGAATCCATATGCAGTGATGTACAAAGTGACACTAATCAGGGCTCTAGGAAAAACTTGTCATTTCCCTAAGAAGTGAAGGCAAAGCATGAAAATGCAAAGCCAAGACTTGAGGGGTAGAGGAAAGCAAAGGCACACAAGGGAGAAAGTCACAGACTATTTGGAAAGATACAGCCAGAGCTTGGAATATCTGCGTGTTAGCCAAGCACAAGCTATTTYAATACAGCACGTGCTCAGGATGCTTAGAAATGCCCCATTCCCCAATCCCACAGGGCTTACGAGGAGCTCCTTCAGCCATTTCAATCGCAGTGATTCCCAGGGACCACAGGTCACTCTGCAGGGAAAGAAACAGCACACATGGCAACTAGCAGCATTTAAGTTTTGCTTTGTTTTTAACTATTATTACGTTTTCCTAAATTTCTTCTGGATCATGTCATTCTTACACTAAAGTGACCTATATTCTACTCCCTCCCTCTCCCTACTGAATTTTTGGGAAATGTGCTAATAGTCCAAAGCTTTCCTTTTCATTTCCCATGTAACACAGAAGAGCTGGTTCACCATTTAAGCAGCAGGATGCAAATTGCACCTTCTTACCTTGAAGAACAAAAGAATATAGCAGGCACTGTTTGAAAATACAATATTAGGCTAGTAAACCTTGTCACAAGGCAGTGAGATAGAACCTCCCTTGCACCCTTGCTCCAGGTCAGTAAAAGTCTCGTCTTAATGCTTATTTCAGAGCAGTTAATACTGAGTTTCTACACTGATAGAGTAGAAATCACCATCAGGTCCAAGGTCTGACTTTTTCCTATCTACAGTCTCCATGTTTTTGAGCACATGAAAGGAAAGTGCAATTGGGTAGTCAGGTTTATGCCTTAATATACATGAGCTCAGTCATCCTAGGCTGGAGTTTCCTTCAGGAGCTTCCCTGGATGCCAAGGGCCACGCTTTGGTTACAGAAGGTTAACTGGGACTACTACAAGTGATGGAAAATCTTCACAGGCATCATCTGATTGCTCACCTGCATCACTTCTCTGTTTCTGGGTCTAAATGTAGCCAGATGAAAGACACATGACCAAATAAACACATGTGGTTTCTCTAAAATTACCTTTTGAGAGAGACACACTGGTAGATAGAAGGCAAGTCTTCAAAAATTAAAAGTGAGTTATCACCCATCCACCATGAAGATGTATTATATTGCATAAATATGACCGTATATATGACAATGATGGCTCATATCAGATTTGACTCCCTATAACATTACCAGCAGAGCCTTCTCAGTCCAGCTGCTCTGAAATGCTTTAAGGAAGCTGAAAAACAGTTTATTTTATAGTTTGGGGAAGAATCTGAGAACAAAACTGGTAGAAATTAATAGATTCAGAATATTACTTGTAATTAATCAAAGCAGAGAAAGTCTTCTAAAGAAACGTGACAAGAATGACTGTCACATGGAAGTACTCTGAGAAAAATGGGAGGAACAAGCAGGTTACAGAGGATTTGGCTTGGGATTTCAAAGTGTGAGGCACAATCAGATGAAATGGAAAAATGATAGCTGTGCCTGTAAAGGTCCACCTCTATAGAGGTACATAGGCATATCTCTTTTTACTCGTTTGTTATCATTTTTATCATTTTGTGCCCATTGGAGGTGGGTCAGAAAGATTTTACAAAGACAGACACAAAGAACAGCTTCCTTCTGCTCTTCTCATCATATCCATTGTAAATTTATATTAAGAAAAAGGCCAGAACCTTGCCACGTTCTCAGTCACAGCACTGTCCACATGAGCCCTTCCAAAGCCCTCTGTTGATCAGTTTAAACTACTACTTGTGGTATTCATTCAGAAGCAGAGATCAAGACAAATGCAGGTAGATGAACCATGCTCATTATTCAAGGCAAGGAAACCTCAAAAATTAAGGGTGCATATTCCCTAATGCTTGTGTAGTTTGAAAAGAAGACATTCTGGGGAAAAAAAAAGAAAACAGAAGAGGACAGAGAATGAAGAGATTCATTTCTTGAGGCTTCTGCATAGATTTATATGGTATGAAAAATAAAATAAAATCCAAGAACATTCTTTGGTCATGACTGCCATTCACACAGCGTAACTTCACGCTGCCAATGCAGCACAAAAGATCTTAACAACTGAGAATCGCAGCCTCTGGTTCCATAGAAAATGGAAGTTTTCTGAAACCACAATTAGAATTAAAGATTCAAAGTGGTAACAAAGCATCCAAAGTAAGAGAAGGTCTGGAGAGAACAGCTGCCCAGAAAGTCATCCCTGGAAAACAGCTCGCATGGTGAACGTAGACCGACGACACTCCTAGGAATAGGCCAGAGGACAAAGAATACTTAAGTCCCTTTAGAGAAACATTAGCATATCATAACAGGTAGGAGAAGAACCAGAAAGACTTTGTAGAGCTGCCATTGGCATGCAGGTTGTGGAACACTAGGTCACCTCATAAGGATACAGAAACTATTTCCTGGMCACTCATAAAGAGCAAAAAGCAGCTCAGGGACTCCTTAACCAGTGCAGCCATAAGGATATAAAATAACAGATAGGGCAGATTTATTTACTTGATCTTTTCTGCACAGAAGAYGGCAATGAAGACTAGGCTGCACTAGAAGAGTGATGCCAGTAGGTCGAGAGGAGATTCTTCCTCCTGCTTGGCACTGGCCATTGGGAATGCTGAACCCAGGACCGGGCTCCCCAGCATGTGAAAAGCAAAGAGGAACTGGAACAAGCCCAGTAAAGGGTCACAAAGATGATTAAGGGACCGGAGCTGAGAGGTTCCAGGCTATGAGCAGGAACTGTGCGTCCTGGAAGGGAGATGAAGCCTAGAGGTGCTGGCCACCCTCAGCCGCCCTGCACTGTGAACAACTAGAAGTCATTCTGGGATGGGAAACCTGTTAGTTAAAATGCTCATACATGAGTGCCATGATACAAAATATTGCCAGCTAACTCRGGATTTACAGCTGAATACAGGGTAAAACAGCTCTGAGGAATGCAGCACCCAGCCAAACTAGCCTTATTCTTAAGTGTTCTTCCTAAGTTTACCTTTTCTCTTCCATTCTGACCAGCAATCTCCTTATATCAGAATATTGCATTTTTTCATTGAATGGGAGCTCACAGATGCGCATTTCACATATTAACAATTCACTAAGGTAGTCATAGTGAAACTCCACTCTTAGAAAAAGAAAAGGAGAAAACAAAAAGCAACCACCCACACACTACAAATACTTCTATTTGCACAGTTGCAATGCTATCGCAGTTTAAAAGGAAGGAAGTTTGAACTTCGAGTTCAGTTATTGAAAAGGACTTGAGCAGCAACCTGCAAGCTTTGCCACCCTCTGCAGAGCTGTAGTGCTTACTCTGTAATCATACGTGGAGTCTGGGTTCTCCTCACAAGCAATGACCTCGGGTGCCATCCAATATGGAGTTCCAATAAATGTATTTCTCCTCCCAATAGTCCTATCCAGTTGGGCACTTACACCAAAATCCACTGAAAAACCAAGCAGAGATTAAAAAAACAAAAATGAATAAACAGTTGCATCCATGTAAAGTTTGCCCAGTTACTTTCAGACTTTTTAGATACCAGACCCTTGGGGTACAAGACATATCTGAGTTTCCACAGTTCATGATGTCCAGCAGCTGAAATATAACTGGCTTTTGCTCTTTGACAGAAGAGAAACTACATGGTAAACCTAGCAGTCAGGTTACAGCTGATACGAACTATTCTACAAAGGTATTACAGAGCAAGTTATGCTTTGTCTAAATAATACACTGAGGAGAACTTCAGATCTTTATCTATTATCTGAAAGGAAAAACAACACTCAGGAACACGAGAAAATTGAAAGTGGCTAATTAGGCCATTTGTTAAAGTGGGAAAAAATTCTCCYATCATTGCCACCTGGTTCTGAATTGCTTTGAAGAACTCCTTCCTTGAAGGTTTTACATTGAAGCCATCTTAGAGCAGCCTGAATCATATTAGCTTATTCAGCCCTTAGGCTTATTATAACCAGAGTTGTGTTGTGCTCTTTGTGCTCAAAAGAYGTTACTTGCTCTTCAGGAGCGTAGAGCAAGATCTGTTTTCTTTGGATACGAGGAGGGCCCACACAACCAATAATTATGTGATTTTAGTTTTCTTTGAACAAACCTCTAGAATACGCTAGTTGGATCTACTGGGAACGGCATGAGTGCTATTCATGGAGAAGACAAAAATAACAGGGAAAGGAAAGGACAGGAAGGGGATCAGCACTACTGTTACCATCAAGGAGCCAATCTTCTCACCTTCGCTTCTTCAGTGTCGATCATCTACATAAAATGATTATTTGTACTACCATAATTTAACGTGCCTGTTTATCAGATCTTCTCTAATAATAGGGTGGACCTGATTCTTGGAATCATTATGCTTCCAAACAGAAATGTGGGAGTGAAATGCCACTATATCGAGGACCTCTAGGCTTTCAAGCTTCTTTAAGACACATTTGAGCTAAATCTCTCTGGTAACACTTCTTTTGTTGTTGTTGTGTTGTTAATGGTAAATCTGTTTCATCTTTATCCATTTAAACTCAGAGCTAGAAAGGTTCAGTTCTTCAACACGTGAAGCGCAGTGGCACTAATAACTAAAACAAATGGCAAACACACAGACACACACACCGACAATTTAGTTTTGAGACAAAACTAGTAAAAGTTGATACATAAAGAGACTACAGACAAAATCCTCCCTCCATTGAACTCCCTTTGATGTCAGTGAAGCCAAGATTTCATCATAAATTAAATCATAATGAGATTTCAAGTACTATTTTGCTTTGCTCCAGCCAAGTGTCTTACTCTACATCTACAGGAAACTTTTTGTTGTTGTTTCTCTCAAACTCTACAGTGATTTCCTTCAGTTAAAGAAATGAGAGAGGGTGTAAGGAACATCCAAAATGAGAGGTGCTCAGCTTGAGGTGCTCTTTAAATCACTGCCAGTCATTCTCTGCAATGACTGATATGACAGATAGACACCCCAAGGGAGACACATACTCAATTGCGGTCTTAAAAAGTTAGAAGTTGTCAACATCGACATGCCAAAGCTAGAAAAAGGAAATGAGTAAACTCTCAAGCATTCTTGGGAGATGACTTTTAGTAACTGCTACTTTTCAGTGATAGCCCCTGCACATGAGTAATATCACATTAGAGCCTTAGCATTTATTGTCAGATTTATGAAAATCTCCTAAAACCACTTCCCTTGCAGAAATGATGAACAGAATTTATTCCCAAACATTTTTTTTTCCTTTTTCCTCTAAAGTCATGTTGAGTGAAAGGACAAGAAAATCTCTGTATGCAGTGGGCTGGCTGTGAAGACCTGCTGGTGCTGTGACCTGTCAGCCAGCTCCTATGTTTGGCTCCCCAGGAGCAGCAGTGTTCCTGGCATGCTGTGAGTGACAACCTTGCAGAACATGTCATGTCTTTTAGCCCTGTCTACATGACAGCCACCTCTTAGCACAAATCATTAACACTACTTGACACAGCTAATGCCTTCGGCTACTGAAGGTTCTTTCCAAGACAAGACAGAAGTTTTAAAATTTTAATGTCCAGGTTTCTAACAAGCATTTAGGGAAACTTACCCAGCTTTACTTCTGCATTTTCCGTGAGCAGAACATTCTGTCCTTTAATATCCCGATGGATGACATGATGGGCATGAAGATGTGCTAAGCCCTGAAAGAAAAACAGACTTTCGTCTTTCCTCCTGTCACTGCAATAAGCTCAGCACTGTTGCCGTTTTACATTTTTAMCCTCCTCAGACTTCATTCATGGGGAAAGTTTTTTAGATATGCTAAGTACCATCACCATGGCAAGGATGGCAACCACAGCCCTCATCCTCTTCTCTTTCATCCCCAGTATGACAGTAGTGAAGCACCTCTGACACCAAATGTGAAGAGAACGAGATTCCAATATTTTATACTCAAGTTTCAGAATCAAAGGATGCCTCTTTATACTATGTGTACATAGCAGATGCACATATATAGAACATAGATAGAGAGAGAATAATGGAGAATGCTCTGTATGGGGTATGGAGTTAGCAGGTGCCTGGCCACAGCCAAGTTCTGCATGTGGCAAACTTCTAATTGTATTCAATGGTTAACAGACAATACACAGTTCATGTCAGAACCTGGTTTTGAACGTAGCAATTATTACCTTCATTCAACTAATATTTGCAATATTCTGGCATCTCCTCCCTTTTAAAATTATCCACAGTTAAACTATCACAGATATAATGGAACACAGTAAAATAATACATTATAATTATCACGGGGATGCTCTGCTCAGAATCTTTAGCTTCTCTAATACTAACGATGAYTTCCAACAGAGCTTCAGCCCAAATGTCAAATTTTCCAGAAGGAATCTGTTTCAATCCACATGTAATCAAGGCATTCTGTTTTCAAACAAAGAGGATTAAATCCAGTCTCTTCATCACACAAGCATGCTGTTACTGCTTTCAGTTACAAGGACATAAACAAGTTCTTACATCAATATAATTTTAATACAGGTATTACAGCCACACAAATAAAAGGATGGCAACCTAACCATCCCATTAAGAATGCCTGCCAGGAGAGCTCTCCCCATGATCTCCAGCTATATTTGCTATAACCTACAATCGAATGCTAAAGCCAGGCGAGATGGCTGATATTCTCTGTTGAGCACGTTTCTCATCTCTGCTGTTCCAGAAGCAGAGAATTTCAAGCATTAGTTTGGCATAACTCATTTAAACTACAGCTCCCAGAATACGCACTTATTTTACCATTATTTAAAAAAGAAGTAAAACTGCATTACAAGGAAGACAGATCAGCAGCTGTGTAATGGGTTTTGAATTTAGAATGAAAGGTTCCAACATTTTTTTTCCAGGCTAGTTCACTAGACTACACTTTCTTCTGAGCTTCAATTATATTATGAGTTATGTTTTCACAGAAGTCGCTCAGGAATTTGTACTTTCCAAGAAAAAAAAAAAAAAAAAAAAACCACTCCAAAGTCTGCATAGAGTGAAATATAGTCCCAAGAATTATCTTGGGGAATACTGCTGCAACATGGCTACCTTTAGGATTCTGGAATGCTGCCTAGTCAGCATTGCTCCTGATTGTGCAGAAAACTGGCCCTGAACCACACACATCAATGAATCATGATAAGAAGACTTTATACAGAGTGTATAGCTGGAGCGAAGAACACTAAGACCTAATGAAGTGGAAGACAGACTTGTAAATACGAGTGATTTATTTACCTTTGTAGATGGCCTGAATCTAGRCTTGTGAAAGAGTGGCTATTTGTCACAGGAAACCAGAGCCTATATGCTTTTCATACAGGGCATGGGATTGGCTAGGGAAATATGTGATATCAAGCAGCCATCGTGCTGGCTGATAAACCTTTGGGCCCTTCTGGACCCGAGGATCACAGCCCACGAGCCTCTTGCTTCAAAGCCTCAACATGACACTGCTCATTGGTGTCCTGTTAGTGACCGAAGGCTGGTGAACATCTCTTCTGTGGCAAATAAGCAACGACACTCTGCTGGTGTGACTCACCCTGAGAACCTCTCTGCAGATGTAGGCAATCCAGTCTTCCTTGAAGCAGTTCCCTTTTGTCTTCTTCACCAGGTCGGTCACAGAGCCRGCACCGCAATACTCCATGACCAGCTGCAGGGAAGGAAAGCGACACCTTTGCCTTGGCACACACAGGGCCCTGCTAGAGACACCACGGGCGTCACCTGTCCCCACACGAGCAAGGTGTGGCAAACCACAGGCCACCCTCCCAGAAGACAAGCAAAATAAAACTTCTCGTTTCCTGAATGACTCACATCGCTGAAAAAATAAAAACCTCAGTAGTGCTCCTCTCCTTTTATCGCTCCTCTCCTTTTCCTTCTAGAAATTACAAACTCRGGAAGAGAGGCAGTAACAGCACTGAAAATTATGGGATTTTTTTCTTTTCAAAATATCAAGCTTTTGCCCTTTTTTAGTTGCTGGAATTTATTTTTAATGGCTGCTAATTGCTGATAATATTGCAGGAAAAAAATGGAAAAGTATTTCACTGCTAATTTCTCTGCACTTTTTCTGCACACTTACCCAGAGCTGATCATCTTGGCCTGCTGGACTTTTCTTAACAAATGCACCATAATATGTAGCAATATTCCGGTGATGGGAGTATTTTTTTAACATATTTATCTCCAGCTTGATTTCATCTTCTTCATTCTGCAACAAAACAGAGCAGAACATTCACCAGAGCCACAGGATCTCCAAGAGCCAAGGCTGCCCAGGACAGCCAGGCCATCTCTGCTGCTTTTGAGGGTTTTCAAGACTCAGCTGCGCCTGGAAAGGCCTGATCAACCTGTCAGATCCCACAGCTGACCCTGGTTGAGTAAGAGGTTGGACTACAGACCTTCCCAGGCCCCATCTGGTCCAAATTATTCTATCATTCTAATGCAGTAACCAAAGAGCAGGGGCTTAAACAGGAGTCTGAATCACCTTGGTCCTTTGTCCTTAAAGAAGGAGTTGCTGAGGTTTGACCTAAGGATCAAAAACGTCCTGATGTGGCTAGAACAAACTCATATTCTTCCTTCCCAGGGCCTAGATGGGACCTACAACTCCCCACTTAGGGTTTCTGTATGCAATAATTTAGTCGTGGAGAGACTAACCACATTTAAGCACCAATGAGAGCTTTCTAACACTCCATTACTTAAATACTTGGGAAAGCACTTAGCACACATCAGCCAATTCATCTTCCCAGGCCCACGGAGGGTCCTGCTCGAGGAAACCAAAGCCAAGAAAGAAGCGACTGGCCACAAATCAACCTCCAGAGCTAGAGCAAGGTTAGGAGCTGCTCTTCCCTTGCTATGAGACTACTAGACCATGCAGTACTTTTCACCCTCTTCAAATTATGCCTGCAGTTAAGTCAGTGGCCGGCTGTGGCTGGCACATGTCACCCTAGACATCTCGTCCCAGAATCTCTTTTCTGCTCGCTGATTTTTCCTCCTGTTTTGTTTTAGCCTCCTCAGAGCAGACATTCTCTTTTGCCCAGTGCAGCACCCCATGCAATGAGATAAGAAGCAGCCAGAGGTGTGGGGTGCTCATGGAAATGCAAGTTATAATAATGATATTGTAGGGAACTGCTCCTTCTCAGAGGAGAGTACTCCCTGATTTAAGAGGTCCTCTCAGATCTAACCTTGCTGTGATATTGCCCAGAGAAATGACACACAACACTCAGTGAAATGCACATAGATTTCGCTCTCTCATTTGCTGCAAGATACCTGTGTTTAAGTTAAAARGACTAAGACAAAACTGACCATTACTTTCCCTTGCTGCAAAACACTCCAACCAGCGCTTTGYAGCTGAAGGAGGAAAAAAAACAGTGATCTGTAAGAAAGCAACAAGAATAGCCCAGACCCATAGGACATTTTTCTGCACTTCTCCACAATTTTCCAGCAGCTTTGCCATGAAAACAATCCTTTAACCATCACAACAGACTGCTCACAAAATCAGTGGCTTTGTCCTTTTTACCTAAACTAAAACAGTGAAGTTGGACAGGCAGGACACCAATTTCCCTCAAATGTTAATATATATGATATTTCTTATTAAATTCCATCAGAAAAAAAAAGCAAACACATCAGCCCAGAAAGGGCCAAAACCTTTCCCAGGAACATCAATCCCCAGGGAAAATGTTGCCAGACCAAAGGCTTAATTGTGTTACACTTTAGGAAATGGGAAATGTAAAATAACTCCACTTGAAGCAAAATCAGCTAATTCAGACTTTACAACAGCCCCTCTGTTGAACACGGGCTCTCAAGCTGCATACATTATATCAGATATTTCATTTGTCTTATGTTTGCAATTAAGGAGAAAGAAGGACCCTTAATCCTGGGCTTGATGGGGCCCTGGATGCTGAATGACTTAATTAGAGAGGGTAAAGAGGAGCCCAGTACAGCAGCTGGAGTCCCCCAGAGAAATCAGAGCTGACTCCCAGGCAGCATGCGGGAAGTCACCCATGAGCAAGGTCAGATTTTTCTGTGCTCGTGGCCTGGCCAGGACCAAAGGCAGCTGATGCTTTCTGGGAGGGGAAAGGGCTCTCCTTGCTTTGGAACTCCAGGCAGCTCCCATGCAAGAGAAAAGGGCAGCTAAGAGGAGGCAGAGAATAAGAACATAATCAGGTTTGAACACAAGGATCCTGTCACCGATATGGGTTTCAGCTAGCAGATCGTTAGGGAAGAATGGCAGAAAAATGGGCAAGCAAGGTAGGATTCCTTTCCCTGCTCCTGCAACTTTCCACTCCTCTTACTAGGGCTACAAAATCTGTTGAGTAACATTAGTCTTTGGTAAACATCTCCAAATTCCTGAAGATCTTTTCAGATCTTAAGGCTTTTTGCTTTGAACTCCATCCTCATGAACTTGCTCACTGGTTGTGCCAGACTTAAAAGCTCGCCCTCTGCATCCCCAACAGAGGCATTTGGAGCTTTCACACAGTTCCTCTTTGGGAGCTGGGAGATCTCGGCCCCTTCCTTCCTCAGGGCTGTCGCTCCCTCCTCTCCATCCTCTGTGCCGTTCACTGGATGGATTTTGGATCGACATGGGCATGGATCATATTGGAGTATTTTCTATTCCCCTGCAATCCTACTTTGGTGCTTTTCAGAGAACAAAGATATGCCTGTGCCTGCTGGAATAGCAGGCAGACACCTGTGCATCTGCAGGCAATAGCAAGCAGCAAGGCCACGTGTGCGGAGTGATCCCTTCCCAGGGGGAACCCTGCTCCTGTTGACATCCTTCCTTATTCACCCAGTAGGCTGGAACCTGCACAGCCACATAATCCTATGTCCTCCCAGTGCGCCAGTGAGTTTGKGAAGGACAACTCCACTCCAGATGAAAGCAGCAAGGCAGGAGCATGATTCAGAGCGACTGTCCCACGTTCCACATCTGTGTCAATATACGGTCACACTCAGGATTTGCACTTCTCAAAACCCTTCTCTTAGCGTTAGCATCAGCCACGCTTCCCAAGGGTCCCAAAGCCTACTCTTAAATCACGCTGCCTATGAGAGGAAACAAGCTCACAGATGTGCAGGTGCAAAAAGCTGTTTGCCTGCACAAGCCAAGGTGCTTCTGGGCACAGATGGCTGCATGTGCAAAGATGACAGGCTCGTGATCAAAGGCTGTTTTTGAAGATATGGGCCTAGCTGCTGACACTAGAAAGCCCAGGCGTCCGACCCAAAATGGAAACGTGAGCAGCGACCGATAACTCTGCACCGGGAGCCCCCTCAGCAACAGGGCAGCACTAATGACAAATTTCTCATTTAGATATTATCGTGGTATCTGGAAAGTCTGAAAGCAGATGCCAGGGACCAGTCTGTTGCAGAAGAGCTCGTTGATCACCCATTGCAGATCACACCCACCCGCAGCCTGAAAAAAGCAGCAAAAACTCAAGCTCTTTGCAAGGCCTCTGCTTGCTTGGCACCAAGAGACAACAGGAAGAGCAGCCTGCCTGGAGAAGCTCACGAGCACACATTGCCCTCAGCTCCACTTCACTGATTTCAAAGGGTTCCTGCCACCCCCTCCCGTAAGCCGCCACTGCAGCACTTCCTGACAGATGTCCAGAGGATCCCACAGTGACCACAGCATCCTGCTGCTGCTCTAAAGAAAGCAGCCCGGGGCCGCCGCTCCTGACAGCCAAGGGCAGATTTACTCAGCCCTTGGTGTGCCTCAGATCTCAGAGCTGAATAATCACAGCTGGCGCTGGGCACGGATTTTCTGATGAAATGATTTCTTGCTGGAAAAAAAACAAATGCAGATTTGGTGAAACAGAATCATCTGGCTGAAACACACCAGTTTTAATGAAAACTTAGCTGAAATTCTAAAGCTGTGTTTTCTGGTGAAATGTGGATGCTAGGGGAGAGAAACCCACTGCACAATATCCACAAGGTACCTCACATCCTGGAGTATGAGATATACCCTGGTTCAAACCCCTTTCCCCTTCAAGTTGGACACCACCAACCCTCCTACTGAGCAGCCTCCCAGGTGAGGGACAGAACCACAGAGCTGACACGGGGCTCTGTCAAACCTGCCCCCTGGAATTGCCCCACGTTGAGAAACAGTTTTACTGAAGGCCGGAATTGGAGGGATCTTCTTAGAGGGGATCCAAATCACAAGGTCATCCTAGGCTGGGTGCCTTTCAGCTCTTCTCTGCTTTTTCTGGACAGCAGTGATGAAAAAAAAGATTGCAATTGCCTTTTTCTTTTTAATCTTCCTATTTTCTACCACATGAAATTTTCACTCCCTACAAAAATTATTCCCTGTGCAGCACTAATCAAATCGCATAACCACCCAAAGATGCAAATGACCACAGCAGCTAAGAGCCTCCCACCTCACTCCAGCAGGTTTACTACGACACTTTCCATTTTGCACAGGCCAAGCACCTTGTGAGATGCTGCTCTCAGGTGCAATTTATATGCAGGACATTGCAGGCGAGGATTTCAATATTTTAAAGACCTTATTTAATGCCTCGAGCCAGTTTTTCAAGCCCAAAGGAACAGAAAATAACTTAAACCTGAGTGGACTAACAATGCAGAAGACATACTAAATGCTTGGGAGGCACTGAATTTATCATGCTGAATTTCTAGAGGTTTCTACTTTACAGTTAGGATCCACTGTAAAGCAGTTTCAGAACCTAGATGCAGGGAAGCAGGGAAAGGCTCTTCCTATCTAGAGGCAAGGAGCTGACGTTCAGAGATGGCCAGGACAGGCAGTGCATGCATTAGCTTGGGTCTGCAGGGCAGAAAYGCGCTGGGCAAGGGGAAAGCACCAGGGAAATCTCCCCCAGGTGGCTGCACCCACGTGCTCTCCATCCAACCCTTCAACCGTCACAGCTGYCTTCGTACGTGTGACACAACACGAAAACAGCAACTCTGTCACCACTGCTGCTCAGCCCTTGAGAAGGGGACAGGCTCCCCAGGGTGCTCTTGCCTCTGTAGTCTGGAAAGCAGCAGCAGAGCAAGCCTAAGCAGCAACCTGTGAGCCTACAGCTGCTTTGTGCTGCCCAAACCATGCAAAGCTGTCACTGCCAATCCCTGAATCTGGACCACCTGGTCACCTTCAATGCCAATTCTGCTTCCAAGCCAGCACAGGACAAGCAGGCTGTGTTAGGTACAGCAAAGAGAAGGAAGTTTTCCATGGGTCCCTTCTCACAGCTTTTCCTTCAGTTGTTTCATSAAGGACGGCACTGTCACTTGCCTTWACACTGCAGCCCTGAGGTGGCACCTTCGGCCATCCGTCAGACACTGCTGATCAGCAAGGCATAGGAACAGTCTCCATGAAGCTGCAGATCCATTCACGTCTCTGACAGGGTCTGTCCCTTCAACTCCTCTGTGAAAGCTCTCCAAGGAGCCGAGCGGGGACCTTACAAGAGGGTAGGTGTCCCCTGTTGCACTGCAATGTYCCCAAAACTCGAGACAAGGAAAACTTGGGTCCTCACCATGTTGCAGCAGCTAATGTGGCCTTAAGGAGGCAAGCTGCTTCGCTGCGCTCTTAAAGGGAGGAACAAAAATCAATACTTGGCAACTTTTTTGACATCGTGTTCTAACAGTGGCACCACTTTATAAATGTGAGCAGTGACAGTGCCAATTAAAGCGTCTCCTTTCCTCATCTGTCAAAAAACAATAAAAAAAAGCGCCTCACATTTGCATTTCTAGCATGTTGCAGCTCGCTAGCTGTCAGGGCAGCGGCTCCRCGGCACGGCTGGCATGCGAGGGCAGAGGATGTGATGACACACAGCAGGGGCAGTMAGAACTACAGGAAACCTTTTACTTGCTATCTCTGGAAACAGATAATCAGTGAGAGACAAGCAGGAAGCGACTTCTCCCCTTCATTATTACACACTAGCAGCCCTTGCAGAAGTGCAATCCTGACTTTGCCATCTTTGCTCACTTATGAGCAAAAACAAACAATCTGGTTGTACTAACACCTCCCGACACTTCAAAAAACAAGAACCAGTTCTCAGCAGCCAGAATTTATACTACTGGATCATCTTTCAGAACCATCTACAGTGCCATGATCTCTCTTCTGGACTGCAGCATTTTTGTTTGTTTTGCACTTACCTCAGTCACATTCATCACTTTGATTGCTGCTAGCTGCCCGGTCTTAACATGCCGACCCTGTTAAAATAACAAAATACTGTCGGTAAAACAGGTATTCACACTGTATGAGGAGTAGCACATTTTCAAGGTAGATTTGAGTACTGGCTTTCAAAAGCACATCAGGAACCATCTTGTGGAGCAGAATTCCTATGGTGAAGATTGCTAACGTGCCCACGGCTTTACCATGTTCTGAAGTTCTTGGGCTGAATTTCTCTTTTAGCACAAGCAAAGGAGAAAYGTCAGCAACATTCTGTTTTCAAAGCATGATGTGGAACTAGTTTATGGGTCTCCATTCAGCTCCCATTCAGCAGCTGCCACCTCACAAACATCCTCTTCTGCAAAGTCTCAGCCCAGGCCCAGGAGCCAGACCCAGCCAGGATGACCTCCTTGTCCTGGGATCCAGCACTGCAAAGCACTGAGGGAACAGGGCGTCCTGCAGCTGGCATTCTCCCCACCACCCCATCCACTCTGTTCTAGCCCATCTCAAGGAGAAAGTCATGAGCTTCAGGACTTCAGTCTGACAACTTCTATGTAGTCACTAAGAAACTAAAGCTGTGCCTATTTTTTTCCAAGGCTTTCTACTATGAAAGGCTCCGCTTTAAATACTTTTGTTGCAGCTGAGTTACCTATGGCTCAACTACCTCCTGAAACGCGTGCAGAGACTTTACACTTGAAACGAGTCTTCTACAACGGTGAGGAGAAACTCACGTAGGGTGGATGCATACCTGCACCTCACTCACAAAATGCCCACACCCCAAGATCATTGTTAAACAACTGATAACGGGTAATTTTAGAGTATGCAAGTGGCTAGTTTTTGAAGATAAAGTCCTCAAAAGAGAGGAAATAAAGCCATCAGAAGAGCAATTATGGTAMTGAGACTGACCAAATGTGGTTCATAATGCCATAAATTAGAAACCCAGAAGCAACCAGAAATCTTGCTGTAAATTGCAGCATTCTTCACTCTGGTTAGATCAAGGTTAGATGAAGTCGCTCAACAGATGCAAAGCACAAGTGTCCTGTCATAATAACTAACACTAATCTCATAGCACACAATGGTATCAAGAATAGTACTGGCTACGCATCCTAACTCCTCCCTCCATCACTCCTTTATGATCCCTATTTTCAAAATGGGTTTGAAGCTTTGAGATTGCAGTTTTATTCCTGAAAAGCTATACATCAAAATAACTAACTGGCATAGTTAAGGAAGCCACAGGAAGTCAGGAAAGCAAATAAGAAATGCTGCAGTTCATAGACAAAATGATTTGCAGGTGCAATTTACACCTGCAAAATTAAAAGCTAGGCTGATGTCATTTTAAAAAGCAGGTCCTATCTGTTCAAAATTGCATACGGGTGTTATTTGTAGAACTAAGCAATTTTGCATCAAAGAAAAATGATTCCTTGTTCTCAGGCAATATGTCACAGTCATGTTTTCTTTTACAGAAAGCTAAATCCTGCTGAGTTTTTGTGTATTTAAGTGTCCTCTTTCTGTGAAAGCGCTCCTGGGATTGCAAAGCTCTTTCTCATCATCAGGAACGATAGGATTCATATATTATCCTGGATCTCAAGAGGAAAATAAAGGAGACATCCTCCCTGAGCCACAGCACACCCCGGTGTGCCTGACGGCCCTTCAGATGTTACCAGGCATTGAAATCCTTGGCCATGCAGCGAGAGGACCTTCCACAAAACACGGCACTGCTCGACACAGCGGCTGGCCAAGCAGCTCCAGCCACCACACACTGCAGGCAACCAACCCACCTAAGCCTCACTTGGGCTGCTGTATAGTCTGCCAAGAATCATGTCAAGGATCAGCACTGATTTTCATGATTACAACAAAGGAGACACATGTCTTCTCTGCACTTACAGCCAATAGTAGGCTAGCATTGCATAGGAAATTGGAAATTCAGCCGAATAAGGAAGGAGGAAAGGCTTGAAGTTTAATTTTGATGTTGAAACATGAGACCTGGTCAATTTTTCCTCTGTGCAGCAGACATCTTTTATACGCAGTCATCTCCTCTGCATGCAAACCTGCTGCTTTCATTTACTTTTACCATTGTAGGTGAGAAATGCTAAATCTTCAAAAAACAATTTGCAAAATTAACATTGATGGGAAAGAAATCGGCACATCCTTTCATTTTGTGGGTCATGCTTCACCTTGGCACAATACATGTGCTGCACAACCACTGGGTAAAGCTGCCTTTCACGGAGCTAAGTTACTTTAACTACCTGGACTTCTCACCCTCCTGCTCTCTTTTACGCTCCCTTATCCTGTTGGGAAAACAGAAGCTTGATGAGCATGAGACTCCAAACTCTTCTCAAGAGAGGGAAAGGAGAGAAGCAAGGAACAAAGCAGCATCAATCCATTCCTGTTAGTTTGCTTCGATTTTCAAGTCACAAGTTATTTTCAACAACTAGTATTGCACRTGAAAAGGGGGTTTCTACATTTCTTGGCTGCATGAAGCTTCAGAACCTGCCCTTCACCCCCTCAGAAGTTTGTGCAGGTAAATGCAGAAGGCATGAAGTTAACTTCATGAAAAGATTAATACATGAATTTGTTTCATATAATAACATTTTATTCAAGAGTCTTCTGCTCYCCAGACCCTTACTGTTAACTTGACTGCCTACAAAGACGGAGCAGAAACGATGTCTAATGTCTCAGACAACTGCAGTCCCCACRGGGAGCTTTCCCACCCACGGGGGCTGTGCAGGGACGTGCGAGGCTGCCGGCCACGGCGGCTCGCCCGGGGAAGGCCCTTTAATGCCCGAGCAGCCAAACAAACTGCACRTGACACTGTTTAATGCACAGGCTGTGACTATTGTGGCAATCAGACTTAAAAAATCACAGGTTTCTGTCCTTTATATCATTTTTTTTTCAAACTGTTCCAATTTTGGTTTCCTTGGTATCTCTTAAAAGCAGTAAACATCCTGAGCGGRGCCCTGGAGTTCTTGCTAATGCACAGAGACCAGTGTTTAAGCAAGGGAAGGTGTCACRGCCTGGCCCCATATTTTTTCATTTATCAATAAATCTCAGAGGTTAGGCAGAGTTCATGAGGACCCATACACATTGCTGCTTCTCTTGCAGCCACAAGGTTGAGCATGYTTGAATTGTTTTTAGAAAGGTGGTATTCTGTTTTTTTGTTGTTGTTGCTGTTGTTTAAAGCACCTAGGAGCYCTTGCCTGACCATTTTAACTGTTTCCTGACTGAATGAGATCAATAGATGAACTTCCAGAGAGAWGACAACCCATGGAAGTTCTTCATTTTGACTTAATCCAGAGACATATTCCAAGAAATGGAAGCACAAGAGACACTGTGCTACCAGCCCCCATGGGAGCTCATCCTCTCCAGATCACTAAAGAGACTCAGTCTGCTGCCATTTAAGATTCAGTGAGCATTTCCACAGACACTGGGCCGAGCAGAGTGATCTGTGGGACACTGTTTCGCTAATAAAAAGTTTCATCTTTCATCCAAATGTTCAGTTTGAGAGCACACTGCAGCTCTTGAGAATGCAGCCAGAACATTCACCAGTTCCATCTGCAAATCATGTGTATTCCTACCCAAGAAGGGAGCACTGAACACTATCAAGCTCAGATACCGTTCAGGCTTGAACAATCCTGAAGCTCGTTGACTTTCCAAAATTGAAATTCCAGTTAGCCTTGATTCCAGCTAAATTCCTCCTGTCCCTTGCACAAAYACCCTCCATGTAAAGTCTGTTGCAATTGCCAGCTAGTCACTACAGTGACAATCGCACACCAAACACAGGCTGCGAGCAGCCTCCTGGCACATGGACACTGCACACAGGCGCAAATGGCTGGGAACACCGGGAGCAGGGGTACACGAGGGTCTGCACTTGAGAGGAAGCCCTGCCTGTTGCCACCGCTCTCCAAGAGCGGGATGGAGGCTCGGCTGTTCAGCTGCTGGCTGCCAGGGAGCTTCAGCCGGCTGCTTTCCTGCTCAAAACCCGCTTACAAGCTCTGCCCACCTCAGGCAGCTCTGACATGGCCCTGCTGTTGCTGACAGATTGCCAGCTTGGGTTTCTGGGCCCACCTTTGGGCCCCTCTCCTCACCACCCTTCCCATGAAGCAACGCAAGGGAAGCCTCCAAATGACTACACGCCAAATGAACAGTCCTCTACACGGCTCTTCAGGAAACTCCATACTCTGTTCCAGATGACCTTTAACCAAGTTATGATCCTTCTGTTTCCCCTTCCATCCGTCATTTCTTTATTCTGCTTAGTCCTAGTTCTTCAGAAGAGGTCAGCAGAGTTTGCTCCAGAGCCAAGACCAGCCTTGCTGGCCGCTCAGGTGACAGGTAGGCCCGAGTGGCCTCTGGCACAGCCACCACGGGCTCCTCGGGGCATGAAGAGCATGCCAAGAGCATTAACCCGCCAAATGCACTGCCCTTTCACAACCATCTACACACAACCACTGTTTTCCAGCTCACAGTCGCCCACAGCGGACATCTTGTTCTCCCCTGGGGTCCTGCCTAGCATAAAAAAAACACACACGGCTTGGACACCTGGAGCTGCAGTGTCTTGGTGCCGAGAAGAGTCACTCCGTGGTGGTTTATAGGAAAGCTCTGCGCCACGAAGACTGCTCTGTGCTCCTCTTCTTGGCAGCTGGTACCAAAAGAGCCTAGAGGAAGGATGTGAGATAACCCGCTGCAGTCATAGCTGGAGCCTTCCAGCTACAAAAACAGTAGTAATGAGAAGATTTAAATGGGACAAGTATAAATACCAAGAAGGAAGATATTAAGAGTTTGGAGGTTGGCTTGTTTTTTCTAGTTAATGATCTGAGGCAGAGCTCAGGGTAGTTCATGCACTGAAATCTCGCACTGGATTTCAGTCCTGATCAAATTCTTCATGATTACATCATTTTAAATGATAACAATCTACAACAACAATTCTGACAGCTTCATGAAAAAAATACCTTCAATCCTTGGCAGATAATTACCAGTTTCAAAAAGTCTTCCTTTTAATCCCCATTAAGAACACAGAAGTTGGCCTACGCTAACAGAGCTGTGC